CACACACACACACACACACACACACACACACACACACACACACACACAAACACACACACAGGTAAATCAATAAATGTTCATAAAAAATGTGCTGGCCTTGGCGCGTGATGTGCTGATGTTCTCGATGTTCTCGATGCTGGCGATGCAGTTGTTCTGGACCTTGCTGCACGCCAGTCGAATGTACTCCCAGAAGCTGCGCTGCCCATCGGAGCTGAACCAGCTCCCCGAACCTGTCCAACAAATAAAACTCAGCAGAGGATCGGCAGGCCGACTCACTGCTCCTATCACACCAGCACTTTGTTTACTTCCTGTTTCGCATGTTACCTGCTGTGTTACCTTTAAAGCGATGGCTGAGGATGTGCTCTAAAATAGCGGCGAAGTTTATAAACTCCTCAGAGGAATCATCGATGGGCTCTGCCGTGTACCTTTCCAGGAGGGTCTTCACAGAGAATCTGGAAACAGAAGCGCACAAACTAAACACAATGTGGGAAAAACAAAATGGAACCTCGCGTTTTATTTTGAAAAGTTCCAGCTGGTTTTGTGCAGCTGTGCACTGTACTGTACCGACGCAGACAAATGTACAACTGTATCCAAACAACAGCAGGGAGTTTTTTCCTGCCTTTTTTTAAGGGAACCACGCCATCTTATCACTCTGAGGTCACCCCAATTGTCTTGTGTGCAGCACAAAGCACCCCCTTCAACAATTTCCCTTTGTTATCCTGAAAACGACACAATTAACCCCCTGTCTGTTCAGTCTCGCTGTGCTTCCAGGTCCTTTTGGATCTCGTCTCTCTGAGGGACCGAGCATCAAAGAATGATCCAATAATTCCCTCCCCCTCATCTATACATTGTGGCGTGATCTATTTAGGGCAGMTGCTGCAGCTTTAGCTCGGCTTTTTGACCTCACATGCTCACCCTCCTTGCACCCACAGAGGGTCTGCTATGCGGCGTGCACGCTAGGAACCGGCACCGGGGCTGACCGTCGCCTGCCTCCATGGGCAACACTAGCATCACAGAGGGCAAGACTGCCCTGGCAGTGGGAAACACCTCCATCGCCAGGGGAAAGACTACCGTCTCCTTAGGCAAATCCTCAATATTCAGGGGAGTAACCACCACCTCCATGGGAGATTCCACTATCCAAAGGCAAAAGACGACTGTGGCTCTGGGACGGGCCAGCTTCAGCCGGGGAACCACCACCACCTCCTTCCGCAAAGCGCTGACGGGCAAGCGCAGGAACACCTAGATGGAAACGTTGACTGAAGCCGGCGCAAAGGCACCCAAGCAGCCGAAAAAAGACTCTAACAATGAGTGGAAAACTACATTCACATCAAGCAAGACCTCCTTCACCAGAGGCAGGTTTTTGATCCAGAGGACTAAGTACATCATCTCCTGGGGGAAATCTGCAGTCTCCTGGAGCAGAACCACCGTGACTTTGGGCAACACCAGCACAAGGGTGGTAAAGACCTYGGTGACACGAGGGGAAACCACCAGCTCTCTCGTCACTTTGACCTTCACCTTTGGGACCAAGTCTGTGTCTGTGATCAAAACCACCCTCGTCAGGGGCAAAGAAACTCACAGCAATGTCTACTGGGACTTCCACACATGAAACCTGCACAGTTACAAAGCCTTGGATATGTCTATGTGGTCAGTTTTAGAAGGTCAGTAGTAACAACGGTCAATAAAATATGAGCTGCTATGTTTGTGAGAAATTATTCCTCTCTAACTTGTTGGTGCCAAATATAAACATAAAAAAAAGAGGGAAACGGCACAAACGTGTGCCATGCTAAGCGTGTAACACAACAGCGATGAGACGAGTCTTTGTGGCRTGTTGGCTCGACGGGGAGGGGGAAGTGCGAACAGATGTGTGTGATATATGCAGGGACACAAGAACATATGTGGTTTCCACCAACACTGCCCTCCTGCCTTCTGCAGAACATCAACCGTAGGAGTTCTGAGCATTCCGACGAGTCTCGCTGCGTTTCTATAATTCGGCTGCTGTACACGTCAAACAACCAACCCTTTACTCTCAACCAAACTGTAAAAGTGGATTAATGTGTTAGTGCTTATAAAGATAACATGTCTAAATGGTGCTTTGGCTGATTTATTTGTATTAGTTACTGATTTTATTTGGTACGTTAAAAATTTTGTCCCAAAAAGTAAGACTATAAACAGTTGTTGAGGAAATTGATGCAACAAAGGAACCACACCCTTATTAGGGGTGCAACAATACACCGTTCAATACAATGCTCTAGGTTCAATACACACTATGTATGGAACAATACARATTTTTAACATTTATTTTATCAACTTGTCTTCTGAAGATGCTCTATGTTGAAGAATCGGTGGATCTGTGTTCGACTACTCCACCTAGGCTGCATTGTCAAGCACAGATCCATTGAGAAACTTGCTGTTTCAGCAACATTTAATTTTAAAAATTGGACTTTTGAGCCTAAAAAAAGGTTTGTAATAATTTCAATAAATAAGTTAGGAAGGGCATGGAAATTTCTCTTTTTTGTATYGAAAAAATATCAAAACCRTGACGCTAAAGCATCGAACCGAACCAAATCGTGAATTTTCTGTATTGTTGCACCCCTAATACTTAATGTTTGATATAGTGGTGAAGACATCAGTGCTAATATTTTCTCATCTGTTATCTAAGGGCATCAAGGCCAATTGGATTGACTCAACACATTATTAGCATCAATGCATTGTACTTGTAATACAATGGTCTTTGATCATGGTTCAAATTAAGGGAGAAAATGGAGGTTTGACCTAAAAAAACCTCCTAACTGAGACCTTAACACTTAACTTTTACAGGTTGGGGAGTTTCTGCATGCGTGAGAGGTGCAATCAAAAGCTTCATCCATGTAGAAAACATGAACACAACCAGACACAGTGCAGCTGTTTTCACATACAGCTGTAACCGCAGTCTTACAATCAGAGGCTTCATGGAACAATGGTTCAGAAGAAAGTGATGTCACCGCAGACTGTCCTCTTTGCAACAATGTGTCCTTCAACCGTTTGGTGTCGTCGTGGCGAGGGGACAATCGCTCCACTGTCCMGAGTCCTCCCCAATAGGCTGCGACCACCTACGGCTGCCTCTGTCCATTCACAGGACACATGGGTGGTATGTGGCCTTCCAGAGCCCACGTAGACCAGCTCAACGAAGACATTATGTGACACGGGGGTCGCACCGTCCATGCTTGGCATTCTGGTCTGCTCTGATGCGCCTGTCAACTCGGAGCGCTCGCAGGGAAGGCTGTGCTGCATGAGTGTGCGATGCTTTGCGTCGAGTGAGTCCAAAAACCCGTCGCCAAACCTGGGTCAGGAAGACGAGCGTCTCCTCAATGGGCAACACCAGCTTCACCGAGGGGAAGACGGCCTTAACGCTGGGCAACACCACCATAAAGAGGGGCAAGTCCAAGCTGGCCATGGGGAACTCCTCCATCATCAGAGGCAGGAGCACGACATCCCTGGGCTCCTCCACCATCACCAGCGGGAAGACCAAAATCTCCCTGGGCAGCGCCTCCTTCAGCAGGGGCACCACCACCACCTCTTTTCGGAAAGCCCTCTTCCCCAAACGCAAGACGAAGACGATTTAGACGAGAGGGAGCCGCGGCGTGGGGGTCAAAATGTCACGAGAAAACAGCATCGCTGCAGTTCGGATACAGCGACRGCGTCTGCACAGGGTCTATTTCAACTGGAAACTGGATTAAATTTACGTTTGGAGCTTTGACTTTCTATGGATTTATCAAGGAAACAGGTCAGTGGCTTTGGATTCTGTCAGATTATGTTTTCTGCAAAGACACAGGGTTTTAATATTGCTTATAGCTCAACGGTCGCAGGTTTAGTTTGGGCAAAGATGCTCAATAATCCTTGAAACTTCAACCGAGAAAGGGTGCAATTGTTTGATGCAGCAGGGGTTTATTAAACGYCTTGTTTAAACTTCTAGAAATCATCTGATCAGACTACAGTCCATACAGAAACCTATGAGACTGAGTAGATAAATTTGTTTTTGAAGGAAAACAATTAAATTTAAATCAAGCATTGAACTACTCACTCATTCTGTGGAAAATTAAAAGATGGATGGTAACTAAACTTCTGCAAAGAGTCTGTTTGACCTGCTGGGGCATTAGTCGTGTTATSTGAAAAAAAGCAGATGCTTTATGAATCTACTGAAGCTCTTTCATCTGAAGGGGACAATTGCTTGTGGGCCTTAAATGCAAATGGATAGAGTGGAAAAGCAGCATGCTCTTAGTACGATTTGACACAGAAAAACAACTGCACGGCTTTCTGACAAGCTTCTTTTGTGCCCCCTCTCACTCTGCCTGGATCCCAGCCAAGCCCACTCAGCTCCCTTCAAATGCCACCTTGTTCTCCTCTCTCACCMCTCTACTGTACCGAACGTAAACAAGATTCAAGAGAAGCCCAACTGCATTTATCAGCAGCGACACCTAACCCAAATACTGAAAAGCCTCACATCAGCAATGACCTGATTTTCCTTCTCTGATTTCTTTCTCCTTCTCTCTCCTCTTTATATTCTCTCCCTTCAGTTTTGGCCCTAACCAGCAGAGTCAGACGACAGCTCCTCTGAACTGAACTGTCCAAGGAGGCGTCCTTTCCTGCACTGGACTGGACGGRCAGAGAAAGACAAGAAAATAAAAGCTCCTTTCTCAGAAAAAAAACAACTAAACTAAACATAAGAATAACTGTTTGAGCCAAGTTCAATATTTGTAACGATAACAGGGTGAAGAAGAGTCCAAGSAAAGTGTTTAAAGGTCGGCGGAGGTGATGAGGTTTCAGGGTGGGACAGAGGAGACAGAGAGCACGAATCAGAGTGGGGTTAAAGATGAAAGAGGGAGATGATTAGCTGATTAAAGCCCTAATGTTCCGTCRAACTTCTGCTGTAATTCCACATACTTGAAAAATAAATGTAGGTTTAAACAAAAAGCACAAACCAAACGTGCTCATTCAGAAACGCGTCGACGCTTCTTCCCCGGTTCGGCTGTGAAACGCCAAAGAAAAAGATGCAAATGTAAATATTTGCGTGGAACCACGCCCCAGGAACGCTCAAAACTGAGCCAAAAATTCTGCAATGACCTCGAGTCTTTCCTTCCTTTTTCACTCACAGGAAGTAGCTGACAGGATTTCTAACCCCTCACGTCAAACCCCGTCTCACCCGTCTCATCTATTCTTCCTCAGGTTCACCGAGTCCACAGCAGCACCCCCTCCTGCAGCCACCGACAGCGACACCCGACTTATCCAGGCTAAAGCACCACAGCAGCCCGTTTTACAACAGTTTACATCACGAGATGTCTCCTAACGAGAAAAAATAAATAAAGCATTCGGTCCAGCTGAGCTCAGTTAACCTGCTGCTTACAGGAATCCTCGGCCCAGACATGCCTGGAGAAGATCGAGGCAGTAAATCACAAAGACGCTGCAGTCAACGAGGACATTTTGAACATTATTTTAGATTTTAAAAAATAAGGCAGCAGCCGATATTTAAGTTCAACCTGAAAATACAAACTAAAAACTGTTGGGTTAAAAACTATTTGGATCGAGCCAGGCCTGAGGGGTTCTCGCTCCGCGGGTTAAGGTTATCAGTTTGACCCAAAACCCACTGCGTTCAGTTTTTTATGTGGAATTCTTTACAAAAATCAACAAAAATATATTGGTAATATTGATAATTTAAACCTTATTGGCGCTAGCTAGCTGTCGCTAACAAACTTCTTCCAATGTGAGGAACAACGAAGCTCATCTATGATCCAACCATTGGAGTTACCAAAAAGACCCGGCAGTTTTCAGTGTGTGCAGTTTTACCGTCATCCTAGTTTTACTCTAGTTCACACAGTCAGCCCTGATCCGTTCACTCAGACGGTGCGAATGTTTGACCAGTTTCCAAGGTTTCCTCCATCGTACAGAGTTGTCGATTTGTCTCTAATTATTCAGTCCTCTGAGTAAAACGCTGTTGCCAAGGAACTGAAATGCTAAACGGTGGTTAAATAAGATCCTGTGCCTGGTACTGGTGACCCACATTGTGCCAGATGCCAAGTTGTTTTTCTCAGAAATCGAAAGAACTTAAAAAAAAACTAGAAAAGATGAACTTTTACACCCCAAATAGAACAGAAACCTTGTTTTTTTCAAAATAAAACAAAATGTTAAGAACTGAAAATGTTAACCTCTATGTGTGTGTGTGTGTGTGCTGATGTTTTTACTGCGAGGGAACAGACTTTATAAACATATAAAGCTCGGCCTGGTGCACTAATAAAGCTCTAACAGCTCCTGTAGTCAGGTAAAACTCCACCTGTGTCTCGGTCAGCCTGTCAGAGCCCGGATCCTGCTTTAACCTGAGAGGCTGATTCAGGATGCCCCGCCCACCGCTCCCCTCTCTGAACCGTCGTTCAGCAAAACGATCTAAGTGAATCAACTCGGAGCACCGTGGCATTGTGGGGAAAAAAGGTCAGAATCACGACAAACGAGAGGACAGGGCAGCAACACAGACACGCCAGGAGGGAAGAATCCTCTAATCGATTAAAAAATAAAGAACAAAAGACTGTAGTGAGCATTACTGATAGGAAGCTGAGATTTATTTCTGTCTCGTCTGCTTCGTTTGTCCTTAAAACTATTAAACGTGTCTCAGAAGGGTCCAACTGAAAACAAGAGTGTTTTTTTTTTGTGCCTCTGGTAATCTTTATCTGTGTTAAACGTCCACCGTGAGGATTTATTATTATTTTTTGCATGCCTGCTCTGCTTTGTGTTGCGTGTTTACCTCTCTGTACGAAGACAGAACCTTCAAAATAAAGGAAGTGAAATAAAAGTGATTGACCGAGTGTCTACCTGAGAGTCTGAGTGGTTTTTTTCTTTTAATTTCTGATTTTAACACAACAGTGCCGTCAGTCTGCAATATACAGTTTTCAGTAAAAGAAATAAGATTATTAAACAGTAAAAAAAAAACTATTCTATTCTAAAATAAAATTTGAAATATACGTATATATAATTTTTCATTTTGCTGTTCTAGCTTTCCCTGCACAAATTTCATATTGTTTGTTTTTCTTTCAACTATTTTCTGCTAATTTCTGTTTTTATGCATTTTTAGCTGCTTTTTGCTAATATCAGCTGTTTTATGCCTTTTAGCTACTGTTAGTTTAAGCTAATTTTAGCTTACAGCTCTTCAGCTAAAGTCAACTTTTTGTAATAATTTAAACTTATTATCGCCTAATTCAGCAAATGTGCTCTTTATGCTTCTTTTGTGCTAATTTCAGCTACATTTTAGCTGTTTTTCTACAAGTTTCAACATTTTTTAGCTATTTTACAACAACATGCCAGTACGATTCATTTATTTATTTTCTGCTTATTTGAATTTTTTTCCCACTYCTTTCACCATCTTTGTGCTAATTTCAACTTGTTTCTACTACCTTTAGCTTGTTTTCGCTAATTTTAGCTTTTTTCCTTTATTTCAGCTATAATCCTGCTCCTTGCTAGTTGTTATTTATTGTATTTATTGACTTTTATTCTTCTGCTAAATTCAAGCTTTCTGTGTTTCTTTCAGTCGCTTTCAGCTAATTTCAACTATTTTCTACAATTTTGGCTACTTTTGAGCTGTTTTTGCTACTGTTCTGGTTTTGCTGCTATTTTAGCTGTCATTTTGCTTTCTTCTGCTCTTMTTCTGCTAATTTCTTTTTCATGTTTTTTTTCTGTTGTTTTCTACTAATTTCAACTGTTTTCTGCAATTTTAGCTACTGTTTAGTTGGTTTTTGCTAACTTTAAAATTTTCAAGCTAAATTCATATTTTAATGCCCTATAGCTTTTTTTTTGTGCTTACTTCAGCAAAAATGTGTTCCTTCTGCTTCTTTTTGATCATTTCAGCTTTTCAGCTAATTTTTAGATTCGTTTTTTTCTCCTGCAAATTTAAAGAACGGTGAGTTCAGCTTTTAAAAAATATTTCTGCTCACTTTTAACTTCCTCAGCTGCTTCCAGCAAAAATATTTCAGCAATAAGCGTTCTGCATTTCTGCAGTAAAGGCAGCTTCTCTAGTTTTTCTTTCATTTCTCATTTTAACACAACAGCGCTGTCAGTCTGAGTTTTCTTTTTTTAATTAACAATTTGAGGGATATAAGAAGACACGAAGCAAATCAGGATCAGGTCAGTAAACAGTAAAATAAAACTTATGGATCGTCTCCAGAGAGCTGGCTGAGCCAGTTCTGCTCTCAGCTCAGATTATTTACAGTCCTGTCCTTTTCTGAAGAGAAGAGAGAAGCTCTTTGGAGCTGGATCTAACCCGCACATTACCCAGTCCCTGTTTGCACTCAGCAGGCTGGGGAAACAGGAAGGAGGCCCATGATGTGGGGAGGAGTCCTTGGACAGATGCCCTTGTCCCAGTCAGTCTCAGTGGTTGGAGGAGGAACCTGTTTTCAGATCTTCAGCAGTAAAATGACAACATTAGCCCCACCTCAGGGACAATCTGATCATCTGAGCTTCTGTTTGTCATTAAATAATTAACCAGACAGGTGAGTGGACGCTAAACAAACAGACCTAAATGTGATGTTGGGCTATAAATAATCAGAACATTAAGTCTGTAAAGCAGCGTTTCAGCAAAACCTAGAAATAAAAGCTGATATAAGATGACAGAATTCTCCACCAGCTAATGTGAAAACGGGTAAAAGTGAARGTGAAAATGCACCTGTCTAATGAGGCCATTATTTACCCATTATTCATTACAATAAACCAATCARGGTTGAGGAAAATCAAACACGTTAAATAAACATAACGTCGACGAGGTCGTGATGTACCTGCAAACCGTGATGAGGTTTTTTCGCTCCACCGCGACGCTCCGAGCAGACGCCTTCTTCGATGCCAGACCCATAGCCATTGCTGTCTGAATGCAGCCGGACTCCATCCAGCGGCGGCCCCGGGGCCTCTTCGGGAACCGTGCCCAGGCCAGGACCGCTCCCTCCGCGGGCTCTGCGTCCTGTCGGCACCCTCTGTGGGGAGCCGAGGATGCTGCGTGCCGCTGCGGCTGGAGGAGAGAAGAGGACGGAACTAGGTACCACGGTTAAGCTACGTTAGCTAGTTGAGTCGTTTCCGGTRAAGACTTTCAAAGTAAAAGCATGATCAGAAGGAGACTTTTATTTTTATTGTTCCGGTTTGATTCACATACAGTTCACGTATCCTGTGCGCTTGCAGTAAATACTTTCCAATGTGTAAACAAATAAAATAAAATAAAATAAAATAAAGTGTTTTGTAATAGTGATAAAACACTACTGATTTTGCCCATTTGTGTCTGTCTATCTTTCAAAAAAGATTAAAAATAAAAATAAAAAAGTCAGTGTGAATAAAAAGTGTTTGACACAGTTAAAGCTGTCTTTTTTCTAATATTGTTCACTGGTGTTCACTTCGGTCTTAGATAGATAGATAGAT